GGAAATACGAAAACTCGAAAGGAAATTGAGCGCAAAATTCACGAACGACTGAAGCGATCGCCGCAAAAATTTAGGGGTGGTCTCTTGGGAGCTTCAGGAAGGTCATATGAGGGTCGGCGTTCTCAAGTGATGGGGCCTCCCACCTAAAAAAAACGCCAAACCGGTCGAGCTTGATCGTGCTGGAAAGCTGAGAGCGAGCCCGAGCTCCTAGACCCCTCAGACATGTGTTTCCGGCCAGATTCTAGCGTCAGAGATCAATGCGCTGATAATGCTTGAATACATTGGAATTGTTGAAATGAAGGGCAGTGAAGATGGTGAATCTCAGCTCCCGTCTCCGAACGGCCCGACGTCAATCTATACTCCACCCTCATCAATCAGAGAACCCCGGACCCTCGTCTCATATTAAGCCCGAGCACATCTAATCCCCGTCTACATCCCACGCTTAGTATACGCATTGGGTCCCGCTTCATAGAATCATTAGAATCTCATGTATCAAGACTAGATGGATAGGGTGATGCTCACTAGCACGTAGTCTCCTGGGTCCCTCACTCAAGGAATAGGTATATAAGGACCTGTAAACTCAAAATGAAAAGACTCTCCTTCATCCGGTATCCTACCCTCAATCCGTCTGAGTGTTTCATCACTACTTCTCGTGCGGTCTGAACCTGTGCTCTCGATCAGCGTCAGCTCTGGACTAGGGCCCAAAGCTTGGAATCACAAATTTTGACAGGGATCAATCCCTGTGGCCCGCGTGAAATCCAATTCGGAGCCTCAAAGAGCTGCTCCGTCCCCAGAAGAATAGAAAAGACCGAAGTCTGGTGCCATTTGACGAATCGACTTTATTCTGTATCGGAGTCAATCTCCGGGACACTCTCAAGGAGCTCCAACACATCTTCGTCACATTCATCATCATCTTTTACTAGCAGTTCTCTGTGCCTGAAAATCAGCGGATTGGACAAGGCTCAGGGTTGACGTCCCAAAGAGCTGCTGACGTTGACTATTCGACTAATAGCCTTCTTAGCGACACGATGGAGGTGAGTTTGATAACTAGTAATCTCAATGCGGGTATGAAGAGTCCGACAGACTCAATTGAGGACGCTGTCGTAGCGGAGGCGACCCCTTGTACAAGCTCAGAGAGCGCTCTCTGGCGTTTCTTTGCGCGGCTTGAAGACCCGGACGCTTCAGTTCATCAGGCGTCCCTAATTGGCGTCCTAGTCTCGGCCTCTTGCTCGAAGTCATTGGATCGCTATGCGGCATCGTATTCCACCAAGATCTGGGATCTAGAGATCGTTCTCGGAGCGAAGCTTTTGGTACCAACGTATTCCAACATTTTTCCGCGACTCGCGAAAGACTCTCTGGAACGAAAACATGATTCCGCGATTCTCATTCAGGTAGCCCATTCCAAAGTGGACATCGTTACAGATTCAGGTTACCTGGAATCGTCCGTGAACGATTCTCTCGGGCCAAGCCGATTCGTCAATTGGACAGCAGCGGAATGACACCGAAACTTTTGTCGGCCTGCAGGCTCTACTACCGGCAACATCTCCCGCCGGCGAGAATGTCCGATAGAAATTCTAATGTTGCAGTGATAAATCACTCGTGGGGTCGACTTTCGTCTCATGTGCTTCGGTTAAAATTTTTCACTCGAGGCTCTCACGGCCGGGAGTAAATTCTGTGAGCAGCTCAGCCCTCGCCACATCTCGTTCTCGCGCGGCTTTTTTCCTCCTTCTCTTCAGTTTGTCATTTTCTGAGTGTTTTCGTGAAATGACGGAACTTTGTATGCACAACACTCTGAAGAGGAACTTCACCTTCAAGGTGATCATTTTTCTCGGTCGGCCGATCCCTCTGGTGTTCTATCCTGGTTTGATCGTGAGATTTTCACATTCTTGAAGAAAGGGAAGTCGGAGTCGAGAATTAAGGGCCGATTTCCTCATAAGGATAGCACCGGATTCATTATTTTTCCCAATTCCATCGTCGGATTGGCTTCTCAAGATCGGATTTCGATGCCGGTTTCTGCTAATCTATCCCATGAAGTTGGATCGTGTCGCTTGCGCGAATCGCTTTCTGTGAGGTTTCGCCATGCATTCCTCGGATGAGGAAGCCATTTTTCCATGAAGACAGCACATATCCGGGAGTAGCTTCAATTCCGAACACGAGTGAGCAGGACGGTCGATCCGTTTCCACTCGTCGTATCCGGTCAATTCGGAGTGCTGGTGACGCACTTCGGATGACCTTCATAATTCGGCAACTTTTCGAGACGATCGGAAATGAGAAAAGTCCCTGGCCTTTCTCCTTCGCGAAGACAGCGAGGGAAGTCGTTTCGAGTCGTGAGCGCCGCAGAACGGAAGATCTTCCGGTAAACTTGAGGTGAACGTCGTTCGTGCAACTCGCTCGCGAGGCGAAAACCGATCGTCTCACCATCGGGGGTCCACGGCCCATCTCCCCTCGAGTGACGTTTCCATTCTTCCTGACCGGAGCGACTTGCTCGAGGCACCTTCCCGCTTTCAGAATATTAGAGGCCATATGTTCGTGATGCTGTGTCTCAATATTGAGAACTTCGACAATGAAGGTTCAGATTTCATTCCTGTTCGAAGTTCTCTGAGAGTTTGCTCATGATTCTGAAATCGATCGATCAAATGGAATAGCTCTTGATTTAACACATGTTCCACCAGCTCTGGGTAGTTGGGAATCGCAGAACCACTCGCTCGATAAAGAGAATGCACTCGAATATTCCACAACAATAATTCTGTGACTGAGACTGGTAACGGTTTGGGAGAATGATATATCATGGGGTTGTTAGAGGTGCTGACTCTGTTTCATGGATTACAGCTCCATATTGTGCAAGGATCTTCCAAGAAGGACGTATGCATAATTTCTGGCGTAAGTGAATACCGTGGACCAATATTCTAATCGATCAGAGGGCCGTCGCTCCTTTTCCAACAGATTCCAAACGTCCCGTATGAATTCTCCGAACCGATTAACCGTCCTTCTACTCCTCTCGCAGCTCACCGCACTCTCAACGATACTCGATGTCAAAAAAAAGATTCATGCCACGAGTAAGTACGGCGATTCCAGATATCAGTCCAAAATTCCTCATTCGAGAGCAGGGAACCCTATGATAGAATGGAAATCATACATCGTGCTCCCGGATACGCATGGGTACTGATCTGAGCTCGTATCTATTTTACTCCAGGAAAGAACCTATATCCGGACCGTCAGTCGCTAAAGATCGACGCAAGTAAGTGATCAGGGCGCGATTCTCCTCGAGGGTGGCCCATTGAGCTAGCACTGATCCCGAGCTTGAATGAATTCGAAACAACCGCCTCCGATACTCATTGAGCCGATTTCTCTTGCAGAGTCCAAATCGTTGAACGACAGCGTTACATTGGAGAGCGCTGGCATCAAGTCGGGCCAGCAGATCATTCTGAAAGATCTCGGACCACAAGTTGGGTGGAAAACGGTTTTCCTGCTTGAATACGCGGGTCCGCTTTTCGTGTACCTACTTACTTACACCCGTCCGGCTGTGCTCTATGGAAAAGGAGCCAGGGATATACCTTATGCAGATGTGGTCCACATTGCGGCCGCCTGCTGGGCTATCCATTACGGCAAGCGACTCCTCGAGACTCTTTTCATCCACCGATTCTCCCATGGAACGATGCCAATCATGAATCTCTTCAAAAACTGCTCATACTATTGGGGTTTCGGCTTCTACATCGCCTACTACGTCAACCACACTCTTTACACTCCCCCGGCTCATTCGTGGCAGATCTACGGTGCACTTGCCCTGTTTGCGGTAAGCAACAGCTTGCGGCCTTCCGTATACCACACGATCATCCGGGCCACAGTCGCCTATGCCCTTCGTGGATGATCCGTAAGCTTACGGTTTCATTTTTCCCTTTTAGTTCGCCGAACTCGGGAACCTCAGCATCCATATCGCTCTGCGGAACCTCCGACCAGCCGGTTCTAAGGAACGTCGCATTCCGTTCCCAACAGCGAACCCCTTCACGAAACTTTTCGACTTCGTCTCCTGCCCCAATTACACCTATGAAGCTCTATCCTGGATCGCTTTCAGTGCCATGACGAACTGCGTGCCAGCGGGTCTCTTCACGCTCGCCGGATTCTATCAAATGGCTGTCTGGGCTCTTGGCAAGCACAGGAACTACAAAAAGGAATTCAAAGATTATCCCCGAAGCCGCAAAGCGATCATTCCTTTCGTTTTGTGAGCTCGAGAACCCACAACAGACCTCGAACGGCTTTATGCGACCGACGTACATTCCAAAATACTCGACTGATCACCAGCGATCGCTTCTGATCCGATCAGACTCGCTGACGGGAAGCAAACCGATCAAAAGCATAGTTAGAGAAAGTGACGGGAGAGGAGTGTAAGCCAAGTGTCGCGAGTCGCTGCGACTCGAATGCTGAGGATGACTTGCCCAAAACGAGTAGTGATTCCACGACGGTAGGACGATACCGAGGAGCGGAATATTTCAAGAATTTCGTCAGCGCTCGTTCGGATTTTTATTCCAAGTACATGTCATCAGAGAATGAGGTGACGGGGCGTTTATAGCACCACTGATGTCCAAGCGTCAATTGGTCCTTCTACACACATACGCTGTTCCCCGCTGTGATACAGACCCGGATGATGGTCAGATCCATGTTTGGGAGTGAAGTTCCCAATTATACAATGAATAATAAAATTCAAAAGCTAGACTGAAAAATCCATGAGAAAGAGGATTACCATTCTTCCTGAACTTTATTGCACAGCTTGAATGAAGCGAAGTGTCGTGCGCTGCTCGGCATCCAATATTTCCTTTCTTTATATCAAAATCTCGAGCGGTTCGCACTCCGCTGTAGCTTCTCCCTCTCCTAGACGTGAGCTCCTCTCTATATTGACTCTCTGCATATACCTGCGCGAATTCCTGATCATTATCAACGCTCTTTATCAAAAGATACAAATGATACCGGCATGCGGAGACGAACATCTCGCATATCTCGTTTCTCGCATCAATCAAATTCATCGATTTCCCGCAATTTTGCGCATGTGACCTCGCGGCGGGATGTCGTGATCAAGACTCTTCATTTCGATTACCGCCCTATGGGGATCACCCACGAACGCAGCTAGATCACCTGAAATTTTCGTCGGCGTTCGTCCCGATCGTCGCCATGATTATCATCATCAATTTCACAATCGTAACCATCATCATTCTCAATGTATTTTCGTCACCATTTCCGTACGTCGATAGAATCTTGCCAGATATAAATCGAGGCTAGGGGATCGGATGGACTTTGTGGAAGATCGTTCCTGTGTTGTAAGACATCGGCAACTGCCGTCTCCTCCTTCGACGGTTCAGCCTGCGTCAAAATTCAATTTTGAAGAATCCGCGTTTCTGCAGCATTCGTTCGTAAGATTTGATGAGCCATCCCTCATTATTTTTCTCTGAATGTGGGAAGATTCGCAACATCGTTCGTTATCACAGAGCATCATTCTTGTTTGTTTCTCGATTTATCAGAATCCGTAGGGTTTTTTTTCGTCGTAGAATGTCGTTCTGGCGCTCCATATCCCTAATATATGCATAATATATGTTCATTTATATTTATATCTTAAACATCCTTGGTCGTGTTTCGGGATTTCTCTCATTGCGGCGATGAATATGATCACCTCTTTCGTGATCATCGAAGGATATATTACACATGGCGTTACGTGTCGCTTCTTTTCCGGGACAAGTTCTATCGGAAATGATTTCCATCTCGGAGAAAATTACGTGAACCGAAAACTAGAGCCGAGTTCGGGAGAGCCCCGACCGCTGATCCCTGCGGGGTCTCACTCGTAGACGGTTTCCGGGAGGTCTGACTGTGCATATGCGGCGTGGATTTCCCACGATGCAAAGTGCTCGGAAATTCCTTGATCGATTCTCCCATCCATTCAGTTCATCGAGGGTCTACATGCAGAGCCTGGAGAGGCTTCCCTGGTTTAAGAAAATTCTGTCCGGCGGTAATCGACGACTACTTGCGCGTCAGAACTTCAGATGTGGATGACGCCATGAATACGGAAACCCCAAGAATGTTGCCGATCGTCGATCGACGAGGCATAAGAGTGGGGAGGTTAACACTGGAAATAGTGTATGTTGTTGGTCGGCATTCATTACAAAGAAGAGGTCGCTGAGTCTGTGTTCGACTGCGAGGACGCTGGCTTCCTTTCGAAGTGCATACTCTCCGTACTCATGGACATCGCTGAGTCGGGAGAAGCACACCGCTAGAAATCAAAGCTCAGTATTAGTCAATCTTCCAACTCGATCAAGATAACTCTATTCCTCTCTCCTCGGATCGCCCTCGTTTCGAATCTCCCCTACCGTCTTCATCCAGGGATGATCCAGCATCTGCTGAGCTGAGAATCTCGCATCCGCCTCGACCTGAAGCATCCTCTCGATGAGGTCCCTTGCCGCAAGCGAGATATGATCGAAATACGGCGGGAGGAACTCGAACTGCCCGGCGAGGATTTTATCGAAGAGTTCCTCTTGGGAGTTGTTGTCGGATGAGAACGGAGGGAACCCGCATAGGAGAATGTACATGATCACTCCACAAGCCCAAATGTCCACTTTTAGTCCATAGCTGCGGACAGGGAAAGCTCGATTCAAAAATGGTCCTCCAGCAACAAATCAGAGCGGACCGCTCTCGCACGTCGACCAAAGGTTAGCGCAGCGGATGTGGCCCTTTAGAACATGGTATGCTTATATGATGAATCAGCTAGAATCCTTACCCGGTCTCGGCGAGGATCTCCGGAGCGACGTATGTCGGCGTTCCGCACACGGTATACAGTAATTCGTTGTTGACAACTTCCACCGCTAGACCGAAATCGGCGAGTTTCAGCCGCATGCGGTAGAGCTGGGTCTCAGGTACGACGAGAAGGTTTTCGGGCTTGATGTCCCGGTGGACAATATTCCTGCTGTGAAGATAATCTAAAGCTTGTCCTAGGTCCTGCATAAGATCCACTGCCTGTTCTTCTGTGAACTGGTTCGCTTGGCTGATAGCGTCGAACAAATCGCCGCCCGACACGAGCTCCATGACGAGGTACAATTCTTCAGTTTCCTGGAAAGACATCGAGAACGGCATGACGTACGACAATAGTCAGAAGAACCCTGAGGGAAGCGAAATTCGATCTCCCTCCAGGCGATACAACTCGGATCTCTGTGAGAGTAGGCGGATACTCACCGGTGACGGAATCTGTTTGATGAGCTCGACGATGTTTGCGTGTTTGACACGCTGTAAGACTTCCACTTCGCTCTTGACGAGCATTTCTTTGCCTTTGCACTTGGTCTGGTCGATGACTTTGAGAGCGTACCACTTGTCCGTGGCCTTGTGTCGACACTCGTACACCGTTGCGAAGTTTCCATCGCCGATTTTGTTGTGAATATCGAATTCTCGAGTGACGAGAGCCGGATGTATGGGCTCGGCCTGGGAAGAGTTTCGTGGATTAAGGTCTCGTCATCTGACTTGTTAGCCAGTTTCACATCTCGTTTGAGAGTCGCATCCACGTCAAGACTTTCACGATGGGAGCGAGACGAGCACGAAAACTATGATTCGGGGAATACCGACGAACTGAGCGTCGTAACTTGCAACTTCCCGCCGAGTGAGAGCACAGGATTCAGACTCGGGCCTCGAAGGCGAAAAAGTTTTCTTTTTACGAGCACAGTAATTATTAGGCGCGTGTTCCGGTCGGATCAAAAACCTCCCTCGAATATCGATACGTTACGGACGTTTCGAGATCCCGAAGCGAAAGAGCTAATCGTGCCAATAGGCTTCGAGGAATTCAAATCATCCCCACATAGTAATGAATTGTCTGACGAAGGGAGACTCCGAGGTATGAGTCTGCGGGAGAGAGGGTTTTGCGATCGGGGAAGCTTCGCAGCGAAAGCCAAGAGCAATCTGGGAAATATAATCCTTTGCGCCGGGGCTCCCGCCTTTCAGGCAGAGTACTCCGCCCGACAACAAGAGATAGCGAGCCCGGGCTAATGAGGCGAGTCGACTCCTGGCAAGCATTTTATGCCGACTGTAGCAACAAAGCGGATGAAAAAAATCTTCCGCTCAATGTATACGCGGAAACGTTCTCGCTTTGAGTTCAGTCGCCGCCCAAGATAGCAATGCAGTGAGTTCCATCAATGGAGCGGCATGCGTTTGTTTCTCTCCTCGGACGGACTTCATTCGCGATCCCGACCCTTAGGTCGATGCGTTGGGATCGCGCGAGAAAACCAAAGAGCGTTTCGATTCGACTATCACTTGCTCTCTTGGGGTCGAACGAACCTGGTCGCGCGTACGATTGCGCTGATCTGCTGATGCATTCCTGCGATGCTCCCTCGAGTCCCGATCGTCCTTCTTCGGCCGAGAGTAAAAACGTGTTTCTCGGCGCATCTGTGAGCATTCTAGTTTTCGCGACTCTGAAAAATTGTCATCAAATTATTATTCTTGTCCGGCTAAGCTCAAGTTGATATTTCTGAATATCTTTCATTTCCTCCGAGGCCTTCTCTCCTGAATTCCGTCGCACTGACCATCAGGATCCAGCATGAAGTCCTCGGAGCTGGGAGTTTCTTTCCCGTAGGCCAGAAACACATTGTCAGGAGCGGTGAAGAAGTCCCCGAGTGAAAGAACCGGCGTACCATTCAGCGAGTATACTTTTCGCACGGCCCCAGAATCCAGTTGAACCATTCGACTGAGGTCGTCAAGCACCTGTAGCAACGGTCGAAGTATTTTAGACCGAGGAATCGAGAGTAAAGGAAATGACGGTAAAGGGAAACAGGACGCATGTGTGGATAACCGCGGGAAATGCACCGAGATCTTTCAATCTTGACGACGATACCTCGTAGAAATCGAATTTCGAGGTCGGCGGGCGATTCACAGACTCACCTGTTCGATGGTGTGGGCGGTTCGTTTATTGAGCAAGAGCCGCACGAATTTCCGGGGTTTGTTCCCAGCTCTCAGAACGCGAACCAAACGAGGTCGAATCATACTTCGATCTCGGCACGCGCTCGAAGGCTGCAGAGGAGTAACTCTCGCTCGGTCCAAACTCGGAGTGTTCCTCGCTTCTCCGACAACGCCAGCAAGCTGGAAGTGCCTTGGCGTCGATAGCGACGCGTAGTCCATGGAAATCAGCGTGTCGGTTGAGGAAACGACGTACGCTTCACCTGTGATTCGATAGAGATCGGGGATGAGCAGATTCGATTTTACTACCGAGGAAGTCACGGTGGGCGGAATGACCCGCGCAGCTCCAATCTGAACCCAAGGCAGGTTTCAGCAATCAGAGGCGGGAAATCGAGAGAAGCATTCTGTCTTAGCTTCTCATCGCTCTCTTCGATTCATCGTTCCGGATTCCCGCTCGAGCGCGGGTTTTTGCTGTTTGTATCGATCCATCGCAAACTCCGAGCCGTGACACAGATCGGCTATTTTATCCCTTCGCCTGGACACTCGTGATCGATTCGAGGCCGCGATTCGATACAGTAGGCAAAAGGCTTCCTTGTCCACTTCCTGCTTCTCTCCTGTCGATGTGAGACCGGCCCAGTCCGGGCGCAGCCGTGCCTTCAGTTGGAGCATCTTGGACACGGCATTCCGACGTCAATAGGACTTGAGACGTCCTATGGCCGGAGTGCATCGTCAGTACCAAAATCAGAGAGAAAAATTTGAAGAGGAACATACCTTCTTCAAAGTCATCGAGACCCTTGATTGTCTTCCCGTCCGAGACCCGGAACACGTATCTGACACCCAAGGGAAGGGATACTGAGTCTGTGAGCAGTCGCGTAAGGTCCGAGAACAGAGAGTCGATACAACGCGTTTTTTCCGTCGAGAATGCGTAGAGTACCGCCTGGAAATCGGATTCCTCCCCTTAGTTAACAATAGAAGCGGAATACTAATGAGAATCGTCTATCGCAATCCATTCCTACAGCCTATACCTTAGCTGCTCCCCCTCGCAATATGGTTTCACGTATTGCCGCATTTCCGCCCTTTCAGTAGGCTATTCGACCGGACAAAAGAATCAACGAGAATACGGGCCGCGAAAGAATCGCCCAAATCACCTTTGCATGTTAGCGCCTCATGAAACCTCATATCTATAAGGCTCCCAATGTTCTATTCCTGGATCGCTCCTACTTTCGCCGAATAATGGATTCGGCCGCACTCTCTTGAATTGAATGCCCGGTCGCAGAGAATCAGACGTCGAGCCGGCGCGGCGTCGGCGGGTTCGTTGCGAGTGCAAACACTCGCGCATGTTTCCCAATCGGACTCCATCCTGAGTAGAAGCTCGTGGACGGAAGAGAATAGGCATGAGAGGCCGCGGAAACGGAAACCTAGCGATTGCCCGACCGATTCGAGGAAATCATTTACTATTCCTTGAGACGGAGAAGTCACCCGTCGGCCGCTCACTTACCCCCTTGAATCTGTCCCCGTTTCTGTAGAACTTGAGCTTCTTCGCTTTCTTCTCCATCCAGACGTTCTGGAGGCTCTGTCGGCTCGCCGAATGCGTTATGGCGTAAGATGACGTCGATGGCGGAAGTGAATTGAGGTTGTTGGGCGATGGAGTGGACGAACTCATCGACGTCCCGAGCTGCTCGTCCTCGGTCGTTGTGCCCTGCGGCTGTGAGCCCGATCTCTGGTAGCGCGGGCTCCAAAAGCCATTCGACGTTGATGTCGACTTCGAGGGTGGGGGGCCGAACGGAGCCGCTGTCGTCGGTGAAGCAGCTGCCAAACCTCCACAGCTCACGCTGCTGAGAGTCATCCTACGTCTTTTCGGCGTAGGAATCTGAGCTGCAACATGGAGAAAAAAGAGGATGTTAGAGATTGCGTTTTGAGCCCGACGAAAAGACGCCTCCAATGATCTACAGAAGAAAGAGACTCTTCCCCTTCCGATCTAAGAGTCGGGCGAAATTTCAGAAAGAATGAGGAGAATTCGGCTAACTCTACACAGGAGAGCTCATCTTCGAGCGCGCGGTTTGATGTCGAATGGCTGAATGGATCTCTGTGCTGTAGGACCAACACACGGTGAGACCATTCAATGTTTTGAAACCGACCAAAGGACGATCGGTCGAGATTATTTGGGGAGGATAAGCAAGTTCATGTCGCTGCGATGAGCCCGAGAATAATAATTGTGAGATTCCTTTGACGCAACCACGAGGTCAGATTTCGATCGGTGACTGTATTGCTTCTCCCGATTCTGATTCTCGCAGGAGGATCCAGCTTCCCCCGTATTCCTTCGACTTTGCTGAACAGGGGGAACGGCTCAGACCTTGTTCTGCACCGCCTTAGTCGTTTGTCTTCGAAGAGCCAATTGGGGAACTTCAGCTCAAGTCTTCTATTTGGGGCGGCTGAGCGCAAGTCTCACGCCGGCTTTGACAGAGCGGTGACAGCAATCGTCGCACGACACTCCCAAAGGTATTTTACTCGTTTCGTCAGTCAGTCGCATTTGGAATTCCACCCCGTTCATACGACGAGGAGAATATTCTGTCAGCGGTGCGTATTCATCCCTGCGCTTGGCGTCGACCAAAAGCTCTCATTGCGGTTGCGACCGAAATTCTGTCAGGAAAGAGCACGTGGAAAAGTCGACAGAATAGACCTGCCATGCTCAATCGCTCCTCTGCAGATTCGGTCTGCTCTATAAGAGATTCCGAGTCTCCGTCCAGCAGCTCCGCAGGTGTCCGAGGGATTCTGTATGACGAGATTCCCAGGGAAATTCTCCGGATAATATTGGAACGTTGTCGGGAACCCTCGAGAAAACGTCGTTGAATGAAAGACGATTAGTTTTCTTCCGCGAGCGGCCATGGGAGTGGTGGGATCATCCGGTGCCGCGGCCGCAGACTACGTCAAACGAGTTCCGTCTGCGCCGTAAATCTTCCGCGCAGCGACCGCATGGTACAAGTCATATTTGTTCGGTCGTCAGAAGGAAACGCTCCTACTCCATACCCGCGAAGAGGAACGGAATATCGCATTCCGCATCCCGAAGTGGCCTTCCACCTTGGCGGCCCGATGCTTTTCGACAGAGCTGGTATCATTTTTCAACCCAGAGCATCCCGGGGAATCTGAAACATTCTTAGTGATCTGGGAATGAATCAAAATGATTCTCGCAGTTCTGGGGCGCTGCAGAAAAAATGTGGGTCCGACTGGAATGACCGAACCGCCGTGAGGGAAAACAGCTTTTTTCTCCGCAGCTAAGTGACCGGCTGAGTGGAGCGGTTTTACGCAGGGGTCCATTAAAGTGCCAGAACTCTTCCCTAACGCTCAAAAGGGAGCGGACTCCCGTTTTTGGAAGCTAGAGGTTCCACAAGTCCCTCAAAGCTTATTCCCGAGCTTCGGCTCTGTCAGCCCCGGAGAGGCCTTGCATCTTTGTTTTTCTTCTCGGCCCAGGCAAGAGAAAACGAGTCTGGCATCGACATGAGAAAACCTCCTTTGCGCCGAGATCCGCTGATAGGACCACGCGGCACAGTCTTTCGACCAGACCGTTCGAGAATGGATCATAATAGGTCAGTCTGGCGATTCCATCCGTGACTATCTGCATGTGGTGTCACGTGACTTTGTTTTCAGAACCATCTCATTTCATCGTTGAGATGTTCATCCATGGTTATTGTGGTTGAATTCCTCTTCCTTCGGGAAACGATTTCCGAATCCCAACCGATAATTCCAAAGCCGGAGTGGAACAGATCAAGACGACGTTTGTTTGGTGTCGTTAGTGGGACTCTCCCACAAGTGGAACCCGAGGAAGACACGACGACAACACAGACAGCCGAACACAAACGACGATGTGGTTGGTTGCCATCTTCGCTCGGAGTTCTCGTTTTTGATGTTCCTGTCCCTCTTCTCTTTGTGGCGATGTTTGTCCAAGAGACATTTGTGCTCAGAGAAAGCCACTGGAGGCGGATTGAGGAAATGTCTGCGAAGCGAGAGTAACATCTGAAGAAAACAAGGAAACGAACGAACAAGGCTCTCTCGTCCATCTTCTCCCCCGAGGGAGGCTCCGCCGGAGTTCGTTCACCGCTCGGCGGTACACTCTGCGGTGAGCATCGGGATGAGCGTAAAGAAAGGAGGAGCGAACATTCAAGGTCCGCTGGTCGATCTACCAGATCGCGAGAAACATGTCAAAAGATACGGAAGGTAGTTCGGTCTTCCATGCGATTCGTTCCCTCATTAGGATCCTTGCCTGTGCTCCTCCCAGGAGAGAGAACTCCCCGTAGAATCATCGCTCGGAATCGCCCACGCGTCTCCAAATAGGATGAACCCGGAGAAGAACCTAATTCTCTTCGAGTCCGCACCTCAATGATCCAGGGAGAATCAGTAAGTTGAAAATACCGGGAGGAAAAAACGAACCGCCAATGTTTTCAGAGGATCCTGGACGAACCATTTTGGGGGTGACGTTGCCGAGAGGCGTGGCAGAGCTACCCCTTTTCCCTCCTATCGGTATCCGCCCAGAAAACCGGCTACACCCGATTGAAGGAGGGCTCTGGCGAGCGCGATTATGTACTCCACCGTGGACAAACTCGAGGTCTGAAAACTTGTCTCTGAGCTCGAGAGGGAGCGCGTCGAGAAGAATACTCGATACCGGATAATGATTCCATCCTTGGAAGCGCGCCAACACAGGACCGGAGCCTCCTAGAGTCCTAGAGCACAGACGAAACAGCCGTTTTGCCACCTGCCGCCTGCTGATAAGCGGAGGGACTCCAGAGATGAGGGAATTCCCTTAACGGTGACGCAGCGACTGCTCGGAAATCGCGATTCTCTGTACGGGTAGCGATGCCCCATCTCAGCAGGAGTCGACTCCCCTCCATTCCCCACCTCCCCTGGATTAACAACCGGAGTGTCCGCTGAAGGGCGAGACGGGGGGAATAGCTGCGCAGGCGGCGAAAAGACTGCCTTCACCAAAGCACAATAATTTTTCCTTCGTTCTGAGCGACTTCGACACAATACCTCCTCCGAGCAAGCGCTCCAGAGAAGTTTGTCGTCTCAAAAGCCTTTTGACGCTTCTCCTTCAATCTTTGCTCCGCATAGAAAATACAGGGCCGGAGAGAGCCGGGGAACAGGAGGACGAGTGAGGGAGACTTCCCGAGTTCGTGACGTGTGCGGGCTTGCTCCGAGAAGGAGCGGCGACCTCTTTCCGAATATTTTGCCTCGTGAGATCCCGGCGCTCGGCGCGACAACCAGCAAGAGCAGCCGACAAGCGTCGTTAGGTGAAGCGAACGGCTTCCCGTCTGCCAGTGACAGAATCCACGAAAGGTAAGGGGGCGACAGTCGATCGGTCTCGAGCTTCCGAGATTGCTTCGGAATCAATTTCGTGAAACATAACGACAAGCAGCCGAATTTTGACCTTTTGGAATTGATGCGAGGGATCAATAAGCGAGACACTCGATCTCGAATAATAATTGTATCCGAATCTCAAGTCTTGAGCCTAGAAACTCGATCGAATGCTTCCCCGGACTCCCTCAGGGCCGAGGTCCCGGCTCGACTCAACTAGACCGACAGTAGAGGACCGAGGACGGAAAGGCCCAGGAAAAAAGAACGTACACGCGAGCAATTCTCGCGTAGAGTACTCTCTTAGTCAGCCAGATGCGAGGGCCGCTGTAGCTTTCTGATAGCGAAGGTGGGCAGCGTAGCGTTGTAGGTCGCGGCCTTAGCGCGGACACATTCTAACGGCCACTGGACGGCGTCGACGTCAACGACAAGACACAACCAGGTGCTGGCGGCACGACTCAGGCTCATTACTGGAATTACTCCACATAGCCCCGCTTCGAATGCATTCATTGTATTCACTGTCGGGCGGGCGAACAGGCGAACAAACGGATCGTTGCGAACTTCACCGCCGTTTGCCGGTACCGCCGCCGTCGCCATCAATAGTCAACGAGAGAAAAGATCAACGTCCTTGTTAAATGAGTCAGCTGGCGTCCCTCCGGGAACAACGTCCAGCCATCGATCGCGCTCGTTCGGAACCCGCAGACCAAAACAAGGCGGTGGCGGTCTTGGGCCGCCGTTTCGATACTCGGTCCTTCGACGACTTCGGATAACTTCGTCGAGTGGGTTACGCGAATGAGTCTCGGGCGGCTGTGGCGGCGCCAGTAGCAGATGCGATAGCGACCAAGAGCGATGTCAGCTATCCACGCAGAGCAGATTTTTATTCTTTCCTTCGATATTGAACGACAGCTGGTCCACGTCGACTGAATCTGGTTCGAGAACTTTGATTCCGCCTCGGACTTCCTACGACAGCGGCGACATCGGAAAGACCGCCACTTTTACTTGGTCAGGAATTCCGCTAAAAAGCAGGTGGCTTGCCCACGTACCAGGAGTCTATTCCTCCAACGGGTATCAAGGTCGTTGAAGGGTCGGAATTCCTACAGCGCGATTCGGGAAGGTTTCGTGGTTCCCTGCACGGGGGAGGAACATCGTTAACGACGACGGATTCGACGGCGTAGTTCCAGCTTCCAGATGTCATAACGCCGAGAAGATGGGGCGCTGTGGAAGGGATTACGAGACTCCTACCACTTTCGGAGCGCGGAACGCTTCCCTCCTCACGAATTATTCGCTGGTCTCGAGCTCCCGCAGCTTTGGGAGAAATGCGTGTGAGGCGCAGAAGTTCGTCAAGCTTGCTGGAATCTGAAGCTCAGCTCGACGCCGATTACGAGGGCGAAATGTACCGAATTCACACTCGAACGCCCGAGGGGTCTCTGCAGATCAGTCGGGAGGGGAAAAGGCCCACAGTGTGGAATGTGGAGCCCTTCCATGCGTCGCTCTCTGTTCTCGTCTCCGACGGGAACAACAACGCATCACAA